AGGAGTCGACAGCACGGATGCCCGATCCAGCGGAGCCTACAAGCAACGCCTTGAGAGTGCTTTTATTTACTTAGCAAGATTACATAGTATGTTGTTAGAATTCAAATAGGATACTAGTTACCTAATTGCAACTAGGATTGGCTGAAATAACTCTTTGTTCTTATGCTCTACCTCTAACTGAAAGGGCAGAATAAGGGGTTACCTTGCCTGCTGGCAGTTGCCACTTCCTGCCAGGAGTGTATGCACATCAGTGGAACAGAATGCAGCTACAACCTTTGAGCAGAAGTTTCCCATATCTAACCCCACTTCTCAGTGCAGGAATACAGATCAAAGGATATCTTCCAAGTGGTTGTCCACATTTCTTTTGAATGCCTCTAGTGTTGGAGCACTCACCACCACTTGCGGTAATTGGTTTCATTGTCATGCAGCTCTAACAGGAAGGTTTTCCTGAGATTCAACCAAAATCTGGCTTCCTGTAACTTGAACCCCTTGTTGCATGTCCTGCACTCTGCGATGATTGAGAACAGTTGCTCTACAGTTACTATACTTTGTATAGACTAACTATACAATCAATATAGGTTAATATAGATTAACTGTATAGATTAACATGTAGTCAATCAATTGTGCGTGCATGTTCCCCCTGACATATTCTCCATGTGACTGATTGCATGTTGATTACAAAATATGGTGCACAATATGTCACACAACTGATTGTCCAAAGAGCAGTCTACCAAAAAGAGAGAAAAATATATGATTGTCTTTGCACTCATGGGTTTTTCTTAACAAGATTTTGATCAAGGAATATAAATTTTGTATTTATTTATTTATTTATTTCATTTCTACCCCCTCCCCCTCAGATAGCGTCTACTTGGGACAGCTTACAAATATCATAAAATATCATAAAATATGATAAAAACATTGTAAACATTAAACAATTAAATCAATAATATGGTGTATTCAAGATGCTCCAGTTCTGCTGTTACTTTATTCACCTCCAGGCATTGCATACATATAGGACTGGATTCAAAGGTGTCTTTTCTGCACATGGAATGTATACATATCTTGTTCTAGAGCATTATATGAGAAAATCAGTCTCAAGTCTGAAATCTTATGAACATTTAATTCTGGAATAAGTCTAATTTCACTTGATAGGACTTAGTTCTGATGGGCAGGCTGAGGATTGTGACCATACAGTCTGTATCTGTAATATATGGAATATATGCACATATATAATTCTAGGTGGGATCTCTTCTCCTTTTTTTGGAACTTATGTGCTTTTATGTATAAACATTTTCCCAATGTTAGGGCTGTTTGTGATGATTTTGTTGTTCTTTGATCACATTATAATTGTAACATGTTGTAGTTATAAAAGTATAGAAATACTTTCAAAGCCTTTTCATAGAAGCCTCCTTCTGAAATGCGTTTGATAAGCAATGGAGATGAAAGTGCTTTAAAATAATTCACTGTTCTTTGCAGAGCAAGTATCCTGTTGATACCTGTGATAAATCTCTTATTGATTTGTTCTGGCCTTTGGGACACAAGTGGAGTTTTGATTCGCTGATTATGCCAAATACCTATATGCTTAACTTGACACATGGGCAGTTCTTTCTTTGTGCAGCAAACAAGACTGGTTCTAGATCTAGGAACATGTTTGTTAACTCTTAAAGTTCTAAGTAAAGCAACTCAAATTGATTTGACTCATTTGTACATTCAGACTGTGATCCTTTGCCTTTCATCTCACTTAGTAAAGCAGATAATCTCACCTTCCTGGGGCCCGCATATCCAACATATTCCTCTACAATCCATAGTTTAGCAATCTAAATGCTTGCTGCCCATAAAGGAAGACAGAACAATAACAAAAATAGAGGTGATTCCCCATACAAGGAGCTATTGCTTCCAGTTTATCTTGCTGACCAGTTTATCTTGTGAAAGCTAAGCCAGCATTACAAGACACTCCAGTGCTCCATGTCTGTTGGAAATGTTCTGTGATGCATACTTTGATAACTGTAAACCGCTGCAGCTGGCTGATTTCCACATGAGCAACATGTGGCCACACATGCTCATTTATGTGGTTCCCCCAGCTCATTATGGAAAAAGCTACTACCAAAATCTTACCCTTCCAAGTCTTTCATCAAACTGTGCATTTTAATTGAAACTGTTGGTTCAGCTCCTGCACCTGAAGTAAGAGGAAATAAATTTTCTTCATCATCTGGGAAACAGCTCTTCAGATATTTGAAGATGGCTTTCGTTATCCCTCTCTAACCATCTTTTCTCCTGCCTAAACTTACCCAAGCCTTTATTCAAAGACTATACACTCTTCAGTCTATCTTGGTTGCTCTTGTTTGGACATACATTAGCTTGTCACTAGCCTTCTTACCTTGAAGTGCTGAGAATATGGTTCCACCAATAGAAACACATAGTTGTATCTGGTAAGGAGAAGGGCTTCCAGTTGCTTACACAGTCTTCTTAGAGCGAAATGATAGCAAACTCTTGTTTATCTTTCTGACATTCGTGTCCTATAACTTCTTCACGGCCATTGTCCTGAGTCAAGCACATTACTATGTACTTCCAGTGCCTTTATTCTTAGGGCCATGGAAGTGGGAGGGAAATAAGACACAAATTTCTTAATTTTGAAGAAAATTGTTTAAAATTTAATCTTTCATATTCCATAATAATTGTTTTAAAGTGTGTTTTTTTTTCTTCTTTGTACAATACATTTTTCAGAGACATGTTGTGAAAAAAACTCATGGTTTTAAAAAGCATACATCTTAATAAAGTTCTTATCAAGATCTATAAGATGCCGAGAATTACTGCTTTAATAAACTAGTGATTGTGAAGAGGTACAGTATTTTTAAAAAAATCTCATATCAAAGGAGAGTTTCTAAAGACAAGTCACATGAAATCACATGCTTTCCTATTGTATTAAATCCCAGATGCCTAACATTCCAGAAAATTAGTTCTGTTCCCTTTGTGCTGATCCCAGAGTTGGAGAACTTAGCATTTATGTTTCTCCAGATACCACAATCAGAAAAAGGACATTATGCCTATATATGTGAATTACCAAAAGCAAAGCTCATCCAGCTCTTCTTATCCTTTCCTTCCCCTGCTTATAACCTCTCCTGCCTATCTGAGCCTATGCTGTTGATATTATGTTCCTTAGCAAGCTCTCAAAAGTTTAAAAATTAAACCTGTGGTTCCTGCAGTTTTAGTAAATTAGCAATTTAACACCATGTTTTCTGGACTGATTGTGGGAATCAGGAAACAGCTGATCTAAGAATGATGACCGAGAATGGGAGATACTTCGTCGTCGTTTAGTCGTGTCTGATTCTTTGTGACCCCATGGACCAGAGCACGCCAGGGCCTCCTATCTTCCAACTCCCAGAGTTGTGTCAAATTCATGTTGGTTGCTTCGGTGACACTGTCCATCCATCTCGTCCTCTGTCGTCCCCTTCTCTTGCCTTCACACTTTCTCAACATCAACAGATTTCACTTTCCAAAGAGTCTTCTCTTCTCATGTGATGGCCAAAGTACTGGAGCCTCAGGTTCTGGATCTGTCCTTCCAGTGAGCACTCAGGTTTGATTTCCTTTAGAATTGATAGGTTTGTTCTCCTTGCAGTCCAGGGGACTCTCAAGAGTCTCCTCCAGCACCACAATTCAAAGGCATCAATTCTTTGGCGGTCTGCCTTCTTTATGGTCCAGCTCTGACTTCCATGCATACTTACTGCATTCTAAATGTTTAAAGAAGAATAGGAAACAGCCACTGGATGAGGATTGGCCTATAACGGAAGAGAGAAGAGGTCTCTCCTCAAATAAACTGGAATTGATTGATACGGAAATGGGCTAAGCAGAAACGAAGCACATTGCTGAATTTATTTTTCAAACATATTTGCAATTCTTCATTCATTATTATATGAGTTTAACATAGAAGTAGCATTTCTGCTATAGTGATCAAGAGTACATTGTATACAAATTTTTGAATCTGATGGCATACATAGTTGTGTTATATGTCTATTAGTTTCTAAACATGGTTAAATAGAAAAAGATATGAGTCTCATTGCATTTATCTTTTTAGTTCTCTCCTTTACTTCCCTTGCTGCCTTTCTCCCCAAACGGCAACGCAGGGGACCTTACAATATTGTTTTTAAAAAACAGAATTAAAGAAAATGAAATTACAAATATTAAAGCAGAACTAAATTAATCCAATCATTAAAAAAACAAATTAAAACACTTCAAAATCACCTAAAATTCTAGTCTTAGTTTACTAAAAAAAGAAAGAGAACCAGCACAGCATCTAAAATACAGTGAGATTTAGTGTCTTCATAGTTGAAGGCTAGCTGAATGGAAATGTATTTGTCAGCTAGTAGGACAGCTAGGAGGGGGTCAAACTAGCCTCTCTTGGCAAAAAGATCCAGAGTCTGGGATTGGCCACAATGAAGACCTTCTGTTGAGTCCCACCAAACTTGCCAGTGGAGGGAGTGAGATGATGAGAAGGTCCTCCAGCAGATCTCAGAGCCCAGATAGGTTTGCATGAGAGAGCATGATCTTTCAGATAGCCTGGACCCAAGTCATACAGGGCTTTATAGGTCATAACTGGCACTTTGAATTGTGCCTGGAAATGGACCAGTAGTCAGATTTTCATTATTTTGAGCAAGTGGCACCCATGTTGTGTTTCATGGTTTGATTGCCGTATCAAATGTTTTACCACATACAAGTCAAGAGTTATCATTAGCTTGACATGGTGCAGAATATACCCATAGAACAAAACTGTTGGGGAAATTTACATATGAGGGTGTACACTCAAATATGTATTTATTTTAGCTCAGTAGAAGAGGTTATATAGTTATAGATAATTTTTATATGGACAGATGAATGTAATAAACAGCAAGTAGTCACAAGTGACACAGATTAAACAGGCTAATATAACCCAGCATTTCTTGTTGAATTGTGGAACTACTAGACATTTTTTCTTTCTGATTCTTTTTCTGTTCAATTTTTCATAGTTTCATTCACTGGCACCAATGTATTATCGTGGGTCAGCAGCAGCTGTGATAGTATATGATATCACCAAACAGGTAAGCTATCCAATTAGAGTTCTTCTCTACTCCTAGTATGTAGCTTACTGGATGACCCTGTATGAGTTCTCTCTGTGCCTCCTGCCTGCTCTGTCCCAGTCTCAGGTCTTGGGTTTCATAGGCCTTCTTAGCAGCTCCAGGCAATGCACTCACGGTACTGAAGTATCAGTGTTGTCTACCTGAAGCATCTTCAAGTGGAGGAGTTGTAGTTCTTAAAGAACTCTTCCCAGTTCTCTAAAGCAGCAATTCTTAGTGGGGGGCATATGGCCTCTTGGGGGGGGTGTTCTTGTCATATTTAAAGGGGGCATTAATTGAAATATGTGAGAAGGGGATTTTCTATTCATCTGTTTATGTTGTATCCTTCTTAGACAGGAAGCCCTGGAACATGAGAAGAGTTCCTAAAAGGGCCATGGCCAAAAAAAGGTTGAGAATGGCTACTCTAAATGATAGCACCGCATAGTCCAGGTGTGGATGCCAAAATATACCGGGGTGGGGGCAGCTTCAGAGGTCTGGGGGATTGCATATGCTCTGAGAAGCTGCACCCGATCCTGCACCCCCATCTGCAAAATACTTAAAACATATTTGCTGGGGAAAAATAGTTATTTAGGGGGTTAAAATATTTATTGTTTATAATTTGGGAGTGTGGCAGGACAAATATGGCAAAAATGCCCCTCATGTCCCCTGTAGAGTACGAACAAATTTTCTATGCAAAAAAATTCTTCTCCACTGACTTGGGCACGGAGCTGCCTTCTTCCAGGAGTTCAGCTTTCTGGGCCCCCAAAGATCTCAAGTCTACAGGATCCATCAGTTCCTCCCCACCTTCTCAGATTTGGGGTATGTGTGTTACTCTGACTCATTGATGCCAGAGGACTCATATACCAGTAGTAGGATACTTTGTTACGATCAAAGACCAGTAAAACCAAAATATAAAATACTGTAGATACATATAATTATTGTTTCATAAAGTTGGGCAGGGTAATAAAATTCCATTAAAACATGATAAAACAACCCCTTCTTTCCAATTAATAACATCATATATCCTTAATATAGGTAAAACCTCAGACAGTGTTATATTAAAAACATTACAGTATATTATCCATCCAAAATCACCTACCCAAACATCTGTTTATGAATAACCATTGCTGCAGCACAGAATTTGGCCACTTGTATTGTAATATAAGGAGTATTGTCAGAGAGTAGCCACTGCACATAATCCTCCTCTGATCTCCCAGGAGATTTATTCATATACCAGACCAAATCTCAAAAATGAGATTTTTTCACTTTTTAAAAAGCCTTTTTTAATATTAGTTCTGGATAACCATCATTAGTCTCTTTTGATTTTTTTAACTGGGTTTCTAATCAGAAACATTCTATTATGTTTGGAGTTTGAGCTATCACATCTAAGAAATGTACTCTTATTTCACGTCAGTCTCATTACAATGTATAAAGTTGTAATACAGGATTTTAGCCAAAGAATATGATTTCAGTCAAAAAAATCTGTGGTGCCAGATTTGTGGCCTAACATGGATATAAGCATGGCATTCTAGTTCCTTCATATAGGTATGGAAATAATATGGTTTAATAAACACTAACATGCTATTTGCAACTGGCATAGCATAGGAGGCTATCCTAATGGAGTTAATTTTTTAAAAAAATGAATAAATGCATACAAAGTTATTAGGGTACAAATTTATATTATATTTGATAACAGAACTGTTTTGGAACTGTTTCACTTTGAAATAAAACAAATGAAGCAACAACCCCCTCTTTTTGTCTCTGCATTTATAGCTGAGGTAAAACTATGTTACATTTCTTGGGTCCATTTCAAATTGTCGAAACAGTGAGAGAGCTCACTATGGACATGATGTTCTCTTCTGTCTTGTCCATATGGAAACCCACTATTACCCTCAAGGCCAAATTAAGTATTTGGATTTTGGTTGTTGTGGGTTTTTCGGGCTTCTTGGCCGTGTTCTGAAGGTGGTTTTTCCTAATGTTTCGCCAGTCTCTGTGGCCGGCATCTTCAGAGGAGAGCACAGTTTGCTGTCCTCTGAAGATGCCAGCCACAGAGACTGGCGAATCATCTGATAAAGCTGCATGCTGGGATAGGCACTGATGAATGGATAAAATAGCTTCTCTGATTAAGTTATGTACTTACTTATAGGTCAGATGTGTTAAAATAATTAATTGGTACATTAGCAAAATGACATATTATTGCTGACACATTCGTGCATAAAGGCAGAAAAATTGACAGCAGTACTAGGAAACTCAGAAGGAAAGATGCATACATTTAGTGTGAAAAATTTCAGCTGATTTCGTCGTCCTATGTTAGGTAATTTCGCCCTTTGGATTTAATTGCCTTAGGGGATCCACTGTTTGGACAATAATGTATTACTTCATTTACTTATGATAATCCAGCCCTGCTGCATGGTCATTCTGCTAGAGAGAGGGGCTTGGACCTTTTGCCCCCATCCTACCCTACTGGCATCAGTGATCCATAATATAAAAACAATACAAATGCAAGAACAGGCGATACCTTTATTAGACCACTAAAAAATCAAGTAGACAATCAGCTTTTGATAATTCATCTTGCTCGGGCACCATGATCTTGTGTATAGTCCAGAAAAATTATATATTAGGGGCTCAAAGTTTCATGGCATGATTTTTAGATAGCTTGTGGACAGTGAGGGGTTGGAAACTCCTCCCCAAACAGCATTTTGGAATTTGTCTCCATCTCTTCAAACGAAAAATCATCAACAAGCAATCCCACAAAGCAGCCAGAGGAAAAACCCCATGGAAAAACAGTTCTGTCTTTTGACCAGTGCCAGGTCTCAGCATTCATTCACTAGTTTCTCAGTACATGGTCAAACTATCATTGATGGTATTACCCCCACCTTCTCTAAAACATGTACATGTTAATTGCTGGACCATCCAGGTAACAAGGATATATTGATATTAACAGCTATTTGGCAGTGGAAGGGATTGCCTTGAGGGACAGTGGACTATCCTTCCCTAGAGGTTTTTAAATGCAGCTCAGATAAATGGCCACCTGTCAGAGATAGTGTGATTCTGTAATTCTGTACTGACTGTTTCTGTTGTGTGGGCAATGTTTGGTCTTCCATAATTGTTACACGTATACTTCTAAACTTTAAAGGTGTGTGTCTCTGTGCCCACAAATCAAGCATAATCGTATTTCCACATCAGGAAGTTGCTGAAGCACTGTGGAAGCAAAATGCTTGCAGTGCATGTCTACTCAGAAGTAAACCTCATTGAGATCAGTGGGACAGTACAATGGTGCAATTCTTAGTTAACTGTGGAAGTGCAGCTTAAACAGTGTGGAACCTCATCTGTTTTGCTGGAATTTTCCATTATTTTCCTTCTATTCAATGGTCTCAGTAGAAAAATGTCCAAGTGTTGTGATTTGGCAGAGAGAAGGGGAGGGAAAAATCACCAGAAAACTAAAAGCAGACAAGCAAGGAGCAAGCAGAAAAGCAAATCCGTTTGCTAGTCACATCTAGGATAGGCCCACTGAATCAATTGCTGAATGGTAAAGCCAGTTTTTTAACCTCACTGATTTAATGGGTCTCCTCTAGTCAGTATTAGCAGATGGATTTACTGTATTCTGCTTGCAGTTGATGCAAGTCACAGTCTACCTCGCCTGGCAGACACCAGCTTGAGGAAGGTTATACTACAGCATGTCAGCATTTCATTGTGCCATAGTATAAATTGTTATGTGAGAAACCACCTTAGACATGCTGTTCTCTCAGAAATAAATTTGTCTCTGGCTTCAGTTGAAATTACCTTGAAGACCTGATTGATGTCTCAGGATGCAGTTCTCATTTGATAATGGCACTACACATGTCTTTCATTGCTCAGCACTGTATTTTAGCATTCCTGTACTATTAACAGTTTTAACATACAGAGCTTCTGGAGTTATTGTTTTCAGATAACATACACATATTTAGAATGTTTTTGCTGTTGTCTCATGTGTTTAATTTAGGATTCATTTCATACACTGAAGAAATGGGTGAAAGAACTAAAAGAGCATGGTCCAGAAAACATTGTAATGGCAATAGCTGGAAACAAATGTGATCTTTCTGATATTAGGTAATGTATGCAAACTTTTGATTCTCTGTTGCTTCATTTCCCTCATTTTCTTCTATAAGAGGTGAAGGGATTCCTGCAGTGTTGAATGTGGCATATGTTTCACTGCAATGGCAAAAAGCTATACCAAGGTGCATGAGGAAAGATGGTATTTCTTAGAATGATATGATAAGTCTTCAAATTCCCTTTTCATCATAATTTTTAACTAACAGATGTATTGACTCCCGTACGTGTCAGAAAACATCTCATTCTACTGCCTACCCCAAAATTCTTTTTCACTCCCACTATTCCGTCCCACCCACACCTTTTTGACATTCTTTCCATCCCTCCTCTCCTACTAACCCAGTGCTCATTTACCCTTCCCTGACAATGGGACTCTCACTCTCCTTGTACTCTTCTCTTTTTTAGCAGATTGTAGAATTTGTAGAAATTTGGGAAAGCAGTAGCTGAGTAGTTCTGCAGAACCTGGGAAGAAAAGGCTTGGAAGATCTATTGTTTAGTGACTGAATATGGTACTGCAAGGTGCAAATGGATCTTAATCAAATGAAATTAAGAAATCAAGTTAAAAAATAATAATCTTGAGGTACATACTCCTAGGGCTTCCTTAGTGTCAATGTTGTGTTTCAGATGTATAGATTTCGTACTTCTGATGAGCTGTCTTGCACACTCAGCACACACACACTTGTTATTATACATGACAAGAAGTTAAGTTGGTCAATACTGAAATAAAATAGTATAGGCTTATTGCAAATATTTATTACAAAACTGTTTTGTTCTTATTGAAATTAAACTAGTTACGTTTAGTCACCAGATCAGCATTCTACTTTAGTATTAAATCATTTATGCATATTTTGCAACACCCAAAATACCTGACTAACTTCATAGCGCCTCTGACCACAGATTGTTGTACTGTACAAAAGTTTTCCATCTGAGTGGGGTTTTACATGGATTGTTGGACCTTACTGCTTTGAATGTGTTTTGATGTTGCTAATGTTTTTTTAGCAACAGATGACATTTATGTGATTCTTTTGTATTTGTATACTCATAATTGTTAGCATTAAATACTGTCTTTTAAGTATGCAAGCTGCCTTTGGTCCTTTTTAAGGAGAAAGGCGGGATAAAAATATTTTAAATAAATAAAATAATTAATTAATAAAAAATTTTCAGGCGATACATTGTCACAAGAATACAAAACTGCAGTCTCAAGTCATTTTCTTGTGTTATGCGTACTTTGAGATGGACATACCTTGCCAGAATTTGGGAACGGTGATATTTTCTAGCTAGAAATAATTCACTTTCATTATTGTCAGATTCTTTCTGGCCCTGGCAGTCATATAATGTGTATTTTACCCCCCAGTGGGTAATTGTTTATGGGGATTGATATAGATAATAGAAAACCAGTGTTTTTCCACATTCATCTCAACTCTTAGAAAACAAGGGTTATGCCCCTTGGGTTGCTATTCCTTGAAGGATATTGTGCTACAGAGTGCTTGTTTCATGTTTGGCTTGGTAGCTAAGGGGGTTCAGTAGCCTTCGGCAGGCCTTATAGGCTGTCTTTGTCACCTTAACTTGCTCTGAGCAACAGGTTAAATTGCTTTAATATCTCTGAGTGACCAAGCTGGAACCAGAAGTTATACAGGGGAGGGTTGTAATCTATTGATTCCTCAGGCCATCTGATTCCTCTGGATTGAGAGCTGCAGTACACTTGGTAGGTAAACACAATGCTGCACAGAAGAAGCTAAGCTGGAATTTTACTGTATTGTATGGCCATCTGGAAGTGAGCCCTGTTTGTTTGTTTCAAGGCTTTATAGGAAGCGAATCATTGCTGCATTTGGCTACCTTGTGTGGCCAAAATGCATTTTTAGATAGCATGTTATGACCTGAAAGGAAACGTGCCACTTAGCTATAAGAAGATCTCCTGTGGGATTGCTGTTTTCAATCTAATGAAAGATTGCCGTGTGAGAAAAGTGACCTCAGGTCCAGGGAAGTTCTTTCCCTAAGTTCTTCTTTGCTATGTTTTTATGGGCCACTAGATTTTATGCTCCAGTTTGTGTCATCTTTATTCACCAAGTCTGTTCTACAGATAAATATCACTAATAAACTGGATTGTCGTACTATGAGAGTTCTCATTTACTATACTGTACTCAAAAATTAAAGGGCTAGCACTAATACTTTTCTATTCCCACAATTTTGTCAGATCTAGGAATGCACAGCATTCTGGTGGCCTTTACAATAAGAAAATGTCTTTCGTGGCTCAGTATAGTATATCCTGTTGTTCTCTGCTAAGATATTGCTATCCTAGAAAATTATCACTGCAAGTGCACCTTTCAGTGTCTACTCATCACCTGGTATAGACTCACTTCACATAGACTCAGGTTTTATTATAGCAATTCTCTTTCTTAACTGATGTTAATACTTCATATACAGTACTGTAAAATGGTCCATTAATTCCATATGGCATTCTGCTGTATTCAGATAATAGATCTGTAGATACAAAATTCTGGTGTTTCTTTTCCAGAAGATTTATTGACTTGCATGCAGGCACCTCAGTGTCTCATAAGTAGTTATTTGACTACTTGGAAGCTTTTAGAAACCCATTAATTCTTACCAGTTATTTGATACAAAGACTACTTAATTAAAGAAATAAATGGAAAAATCAATACAGCAATTTAAAAGTTTGATACACATTCAAGTTTTCTATTTACATTAAATTTCTGAAAGCATTTCTATGGCCTGCTGCATTGGTGTGTGGCTCATTTTTGTGCCAAATTATATTGCTTTCCTAATTCAGTAAGAGATTTACTCTCAAGCCTTCTGTTCAAACCAATACAATTTCTATTCTTAACAATGAATATGAAACACATTTTTAGCTGGAAGCGGCTTATAGCAAAATAAACAAAAGCAATTTAAAATTTTAAAAAATATAAAATGATATAATGAAAAGCAACATAAAATATGGCAGCCAAACAAAATGCAGCGCTTTACAGCACAAAACCTTTAACACTTGGAAGCCCAGACCATTTGAGTTATTTAAGAAGCAAAGGTGGAAGGCCAGAGATTTACCTGATGCTGATAAGTCCATGGAGACAATACTATTCAAACCTCTTCAGCAACATTTTGTGAGTAATTCTGAATATTTGTTAATAGCAGAAGGGGCTCTTTGGATATATCCCACTGACTTCTCTGTGTGACATTTATAATATCTGCTCAAAATATATGATAACTGTGTTATGGCTGAAACTAACTTAATAATAATAATAACTGCTATGAAAACAAATTTTCACTGACCTGAGACAGAACAAAAATCCTTCATAGCATTGTCTGAAAATAATCACTGATTACAACTTATCTGCACATTTCAGTTTACTAGATATACGCATGCATTTCAACTGAGTTACAATTCATTAGGAAGTTTGTCTATCACCAGGGATTTGAATAAGTTATAAATATTTCTGATCATATTGGAAGTCTCAGTTAGCAGTTTGGGAGACTCAACGTTAATAATGCAGTTGCCGTTGTTCAAAATCGTGAAGCTTAGCACAGTAAATCTAGAGTAGACCCATTGAATCAGTGGGACTTGGTGAATCCGCTCCACACATTTCATTCATTCAAATGGGCCTACTCTAACTGCAACTTAATTTAGCATAGTAAGTCACACCTAGAGTAGGCCTATATGATTCAGTGGAACCTACAGAGGAGTTGACTTACTAAATCCCCATTGATACAGTTGATACAATTCAATGCATTCCAATGGGGGGGGAATTCACCAAAAATTAACGAAGACTCAGAACAAAGCCAAATTAAGTTTGCAAAGGTTTTACAGGGTGCACTAACGATTCCAAGCATTTTAAACAGTTTTTGAACATTTTAAGACACTTTAAAAATAGTGAAAACGGACATTGCTAAGTGAAACAGGGGACCTAAACTATCATCACTAAGCAAAGCAAGGTCCCGAACATCGCTATGTGAAATTTTCCCATTGGAAACATCGCTAAACGGAGCGCAAGGTCGCTCCAAAAACCTCATCGCTAAGCGAATACATCGTTAAATGAGGCAATCGCTAAGCGAGGCACCACTGTAGTTTGTTTTTGAACCTCCATTGTAGCCAACTGGAGCAGGGGAGGGAGAACGTATGATCTATTGAGGCCAGAAAATTCTGATATATGAATTCCAAATTATCTTTGGAAAAACAAGGAAGAAGACAAATTAACAAGCAGAAATGGAATATAATGTTGTTGAGGCAATGTGAAATATATATTGTTTGGTGATTTTCAGTCATTTCACTTAACATTTATTCCTGTAATATTCCAAAGTGCACATTTTCTTGATTAAATCAAGACATAGTGCCAAGATTATAAATTGGAATCAAGTAGTAGAGGTGGAGCTGTATAAAGTGTTAAATTTCAGCGAAGCAAATTGGCTTGGTGTCACAAATAAAAAGGCCCTTTTAAGAGAAGTACTGGCTCATTGAAGCCCTTCTATCAGCCATTAGTATTTATCTTGCTTATTGACAGTGTTGTCGATTTTTCTTTTTAAACTTACACTTGTGCCTTATCAGCTGCTCTGTAGCCATTTTTCAGACTTCTGAGGACTCTAAGAGATAACAGGCATGAGACAGCAGGAGCTGAAAAAACTGAAATGTTCAAAAAGTTGGTTTTATGTTATAATCCTTGTGTTGGATCTAGCATGTGCGACAAGGAAGAGGTACTTTTATTAGTACAAGCTTTCTGATCTAGCAGACCATTTCTACTGGTGGGAACGAGTGAGTAGTGATTTTCATTAAAAAAATTTTCTGCACCTACAGGCCCTGAAAACCTGCCCCCTCACTTGTGTAGAGGTGGCACTAGGGTCTTGAGGGGAGAGGGAGCTTGACTAAAATGGCATCTTACTGATAGTTGGAGCATTCTGAACAGAACTCTCATCTTGGGTGCTACTGCCAGGGAGAATGAAATGCTGGATCCAATCCTATGTCCTTGATTAATTTAAATGACGCTGGAATTTTAAAAAGTGTGTAACAAAGCTTTGTGCTGGAATCTCACCCTTACAAAATAAGAACTACTTTCTGAGTATTAATTAGCCTGCTTGCATGAACAAAAAGGCATTCAAGCAGCTATTAGCAAATCTTCCTTAATTGGTTTTTGGAATGCCTACTGAAGAGAGCAATGGTTATTCTAATACATGGTAATGCTTAGAAAAAAATTGTTAAGTGTGTGTTCTTTTTCTTGAGATGTCCCTTTCATGTCATAGGCACATGTTTTATATCCATTTTGCATATTCCATGCAGATTTTCTGAGGTCTACAATGTTTTCTAAACAAGCAGATGCTGATGCCTATAAATGACGTCTGTGATCTTTCTTTTTGAAACAGAGGAATGTCTGCCTGGATTGAAGAAAGCAGTTTTATATTAAACCACAGTATTTCTCATTTATGGTGACTTTTAATGCCTTATGAAAGTACTGACAGAAAGTTTAAAAGTAAAATTGGTACTAGTGATGTCTTGTCACAAATTAAGTTATAGGAAGGAGGAGTCACAGAAAGTTTGCATGAAGTAAGGAGGTGTTTTGAAGGGCTGTATGTGTACATGTGCAACAGTAAATATATTCTCATATTTCATTGTGAGAGTCTGTATTCTGCTTGTACTCACAAGTACTCTTTTTAAAGTTTGCTTACATTTGTGTGAATTAAACTATGCTTGCAATTCTAAATTATCACACATACAGAAGTTCATGTGCATCTTATGCGAACTGGCATCATGATTCCGTGCTCTAGATTTTTAAGTACCTAGCAACATTTTCAGCTGCATGATACAACTAAAAATCGCTCCAGAGCTTTTAAAATGTTCGAATTAAAGGCATAGAAATAATATTTGTTACAAGCTGATTATACATTTCTGTTTTATTCTGGTATTTTTTTCATCAGTCATATGAACCAATGCAGTGCCAGTATAATTGTGCCTACAAGAGGTGAGCAGAAATTGAAGCTTAGGTATTTTTGACTTGGCTGTAATTTGAAGCATTAATTTGAGGCACATTTGGAACTACGGTGAATAAAAACTGGAAGATTTTCTAAACCATCTCAATAGCATCCACCCAAATATACAATTCACCATGGAAAAAGAAATAGAGGGCTGTCACGATTCCACTTGGCCCCTGATTGTTTCACCAACCAAAGAGCTCATGCTACATGCCCCTCAGCTGCCACCAGTTTATTTCATCAACAATACCTATTATTAATGATAAATGTCCAGGCCATATGTCATTTTAAAAGAACCAAATAGAAATTGTTCATTGATACAGGTGTTGACAGAACCAGCAATGTTGTTAACTGTTAAACAAACATCTTTGTTTGTCCACCCTCAACCACCATTCTCCCGCCTAAACTCCAAAACTCTCTCAACTCTCTAACAGTCTAATTTTCCATCTCAAAACCCATTCTAAACCTTATCTATGTCTATCTATCTCCTCCTCCTCCTGAATCTCTTATACCTTGTGACTCCACCCATCCAGCACTCCCATTGGTCTATGCAAATAGCATATGAATATTCATGACCTGGGCAAACGCCACAAAGGCCAACTCATGGTCATATGCAAACCTGACCTCCTATTGGGACACAAGGTCTACAGAAAACCTATCCACACAGACCAGTGCCTACCCAAAAAGTCCAACCACCACCCATGACAAAAAAGAGGCATAATTCGTACAGTCTACCAGTCGTACACTGGTAGACTGTATGATTCGGAACTGTGAAGCTCAATTTCTCAGTACCAAACTCAGCCATCTGAATTGGGCCCTACAGCAAATGGCTATTCCAAGAATGAAATCACAGGAGCCATCAAACCAAGAAAACAACACCAAATTGAAGAAGAAAAACAGCCACCCACAAATAAAGTATTTCTGCCTTGCATCAAAGGGGGTCATGTACCGCATGGGGGAACTGTTGAAAAAACACAACCTATAAACAGTATTCAAGCCCACCACAAAAATACAACAAATGTTACAATCAGCAAAGGACAAAAAGGACCCCCTCACCACTGCAGGAGTATACCTTGTAGTTGTGGCCAGGTATATATTGGGACCACAAAACGCAGCATCCACACCAGAATCAAAGAACATGAAAAACACTACAGACTAAAACAAAGTTATGTTCTTTAAAAGCCTGACACTTTCCTCTTTCCTCATTCATTGCTCATTGATTACAAAACTGAAATCATCCATGCTACAGAAGTTCATAAAAAGCCAAGTTTGATGTTCCAAACAAAAAACACAATGTTTTCCATTTAACAGGTTTAAGATTGAATGAGTTACTGGTGAAGCTTCTTGTTACAAATAATGAGTTACTTGGCACTGGCCAAAATCGTCTTGTATACTTACACAAATGACATAACCTTTGGAGGAAAATGGCTCGAAGGTACTAAATCACTGTAGACAATATCTGTTGCATGCTGAACCATACAACTCAACTATGCAACTGATAATGTCTGCATGGTTTCTTAACTTGGAGCAGCTTACATGCAAAAGGAGCATTATGAGGAAAAAGGATTTGGTGATTGGTTCCTTTTTCCAATAATGAAGCCTGAAAGAAGTTACATGGTAATTAGAGTTTTATGGGAGATAATGTCACTCCTTTTGGAATTTGTCAGCTCATTTTTCATTATTTTTGTAGTTACAGCAAGGTAGCCTTGGTAAATGGTACTCATGGGCCTCGTGGCGCAGTGGTTAAACCGCTGTACTGCAGCCAAAACTGTGCTTACAACCTGGGGTTCAATCCCAGGTAGCCGGCTCAAGGTTGACTCTATCCTTCCGAGGTCAGTAAAATGAGAACCCAGCTCACTGGGGGGGGGGGAGTGTGTAACCTCCATAACTAATTTGTGAACCGCCCAGAGAGTGCTTGAAGCAGATTGGGGTGGTATATAAGCAGCACGCTTTGCTTTGCTTATTAAGCAGTAGAGTATCTAGTGCAGCTCCAGCTGTGGTAAGGAATAATGTAACTAGCCCAGTCACAGATTTATTGAGTACTATCTTTTTGCATGCACAGCAAATTAACATCTAAAACTTTATTTTAGGGAGGTGCCTATGAAAGATGCCAAAGAATACGCAGAGTCTATAGGTGCAATTGTTGTTGAGACAAGTGCCAAAAATGCAATTAACATTGAAGAACTCTTTCAAGGAATCAGTAAGTAGAGTTTGTTTTTGTATAATTTTGTAACCCAGTTGGTTGGCATTTTGACAAGTCACTGATGAACACTTGCAGCTCCTAATTCCTTCTTGAGAGTTTAGAAAGGAGTTACTAGTTGTTTCTGAAGTTATGAAGTTTAAATTGTTTAATAAAGAATGCAGAGAGTTAGTCAGATAACTTTTAGAAGATTGCATGGAGTCATATCATTAAATATATATGCAAATTAAATACAAGAATAAATTTACCATCTGCACCGGTATCATATGAAACACTTTGCATAATAACTGACTGCTTTACATAACAGATGGCTGCATAATAAGGCCCCATTCTTATGTCTGAAGAAGGGGACTTGTCCACAAAAGCTCACATTAAAATACAGCAGTTATTCTTTAAGGTGTTTATGTCTTCTTTATTTTTTGTTTGTTTGTTTTGTTTTGGCCTCATCTGCATAATCAAGAGAAATATATATAAGCAGGACAGATTATATATACACTATAGTTTAACATATACTGTCTGGAATATGAAAGCTGATGGTCATATATATATGACCATCAAATTTCATATTCCAGATGGTATATGTTAAACTATAGCGTATATATAATCTGTCCTGCTTCTAAGGCTTCCTGAGTTTTCAGAACTTATAAGGACATATCAGAGAGTACCTTTAAAAGGTAATCAATTACCATTTTAATTCCACTCCAATATTAGTTAGTTACCATTGTAGTTGCTGTTTTAGAAACAATTATTCGCTTTCCTGATTCCCAGGAATAACTAAATCACTTTAAACATGCTTATTTACCCTTACTGTCATTCCAATACTCCAAAGTGTAGTTACCACAGTAAGTGCAGTTTAAAAATATATCCTGTGTCTCAAAAGTAACTAAATAGTTGCATATAGTTAATTTTAAAGAATTTGATTATTACTGACTGCTTGCTTGTGGAACAAAACATACTTTACTCTGGTCCACTTTGTTGTCACCTTAGCATCCACAACAAAGCATGAGGCAATAGTATAAAGCAGAGCTCAAGCCAGCATTTGAATTGTGTAATTCTTCTCCATTTAGAGAGACCACACCTCTGGCTTCTGTAACTGTCAAGTAATTAAATGTTACAGTTACATTGAAGAAGTTAGCTTTCTTAAGTTAAATTGTAACTTAATTTATTGCACGTTTATTATTGGGGAAAGAACTAATTACAAACTAATTCTTATTAGGAATCTGGAAGTTGAGTCATGGCAACTGGACTTCTTTCTTGTTAGGCTGAAACATTTTGCTACTCATCCAAGTAGCTTCTTCTTATTTGGAACTTCTAGCCACTACATAGGTGGCTGTTCTGCTACTCAGCCATTCGAAAGAGAGGGCCTTGTGATGATTCTGCAGCAGCTGCTGTTCTGCATCTAGCAGTTCTACCTCTAACTAAATAAATCCACCAATATTACATTACTTTCAGACTGCTGCTGAGAAGATATAATTCAATATGTGTGAGCAGCCTTATTCCTTAATGACACTGATACAGTGACCCAAAATAGCTACCTACATTTTTCTTGGGCTGAAATATGTGCTACTTATTTGCTATTATATTTGATACATTTATATGTCTTCAAGGATTTGAGTAATCCCTGGAGGCTAGGCGAGGCTGGCTCAACCATGGCCACCCAGTGAGTTTTATGCCAAGCAGGGATTTGAGACTGAGTGTGTTGTCTAGCCTTGCAACATGTCAGCTATATATTCTAATTTAATACAAATAATAGGAAAAGTTATGGTGGTGATTGGCACCATCCTGCAAGGTTAGCTTGGCCCTTCTTATAGCAGGCCCAGCTAGCTTCCCAGGCAGAAACAGTACTTTATGAGAGAGGGAACAACTTTGCATGCTCCTATTGTGATTTCTGATTCCCAAATGATTTGGAGGAAAAAGGAAGGACAAAAACACTCCTTGAGAAATCGCTTTATGTCACTTCCTTGTACGCATTTACTAAAGCCTGGGAAAATTACTTATTTGGACAACAGGTCCTAGAATTCTCCAGCCACTGGCTATGCTGGGTGGAGGTTTCTGGGAGTTGTAGTCCAGAAAAGTAACTTTCCCTGACACTGACACTCAGGTGAGTTGGATCAAGATTTACAACAGGGGGTGAACCCACCAACCTTTTCTTCTCCTCTGCCATAAAATGTACCTTCACTTCTCTTGTTTGAACTGCTGGTGGCTATTAGCCCTCCTTGTCCTGTCATGTGGTGCACCTGCTCTCTCCTTGTCAATGATGTGTTGTGGTGTGCATTGCCTGAGATTATCTAAGGTATGGTGACCCACCCTCACAGAAGGGGACTTTGCACACAGTAAATTTTTTAAAAAACTTTTCTACTTAGCTGATTTTTTTTAAAAAAAAAAACACACTTCAAAATGGCCATATCTGCCTTGTTATTCTAAAGTATAAGGAGGAGTTTTGAAGACCAGCTCACATTGTGTACCCTGCCACTGATATAATACTTAAAGGTTTGCGCTTCAGAGGGCTCTGCTATTTGAAACACCTTTGACATCTAGGAGGCTTCTACTGGCAAAGAACTTGAAAAATGATATGGTTAATTTCCCCGAGGTAGCAAGAGGAGGACACTGGAATCAATGGCAGATGCTGACATCTGAAATAAGACAAGTCTGACAAGAAGGCACAATCAATCAGTATATGTCACTGAAGGGAACTCATTCTGAACTTCCCTTTAGAATAGCTCAGGCCAAGTCATTTTTGTCTTCTGCAAGGAGCTGTTGCTGACTTGCATATTAAAATAGCATTTCATTTTCCTATCTGTTACAGCTGTCTGTGATTCATTAAATTTGGCCTGATTACACAAAGTACAGTCTGAGTAAAGACTGCACTGTTGGTGTATTCTCAAACAGCTTCTCCCCACAAACTGCACATTCTCTCAGCTACTTAGTTTCACAGAATCTCACAGAGGATATTGAGATGGCATTTGAAATAGAATTCCTCAGATTTTTTTGGTGAATTTTCACATAAGAGTTATGCTTCCACTAATTGGAGCAATGGTGTTGCATTTGTATAACCAGATACCTTTCACTGAATGATGTCCTCCGCCACCATCAGTTTACATGAAATTCACAAAGACAGCCAAGTGATTATGCTGCCAATTTATATTTCCTCTCTAGACAAAGGAGAATAGATGTGAAGAAATGCCCATCCCAAACAGTAATAGCTAAAAAAAATAATAGGATATATTGGCCGAAACCCTGTTGCTGTAACATGTGCCATTTAGGCTGATGACATCAGCAGCAGGAATAATTTTTCTGACTTTGGTCCCAAAGCTTCTGAGGCTCCCATGTATTCCCTTTCATTTTCTGGAAGTCCGTGGGAGCCACAGGATTTGATAATAATAATTTACATATTGTCCTCAAAGTTATATGTATGCTAGTCTTGTGAGGTATAGAGATATTTTGCCTGCCTGACAAACACCCTTGGTTCAGCAGACTGGAAGGCTACTGTAGCTAATTTCCTGTACAATTTTAGTGCAGTATGATTTACTTGGGTGATGGGCTTGTAGCATACTTTATTCTGAAACAATTAGAGTGGAATTCAGCTGATTACCATTTTGTTTATGCATTAAATGTGCATATCATTAAGTTACCTTCACATCTCTCACCGTCTGGGGCATAATGATATTGAAGTCTTGTCTGAATATGATCTAGCTGGACAAACAATTTGTGTAACTTTGTTTTTAGGGAATGAACAGTCTTAGATAGCTACATAAAACAGCACAAACCTTTTAAAGCACATGAATCCAGTACCATGCTAGAACCATTTCATACATAATTTCAAATGAGCCAAGTGTTTTCATTTATCATTTTTACATTCCTCGGATAAACATAGAAAACGTCAGATTTCAACCAAAATATGGAGCTAACTGATACTGATACATAATTCCTCTGGCCATCAGTCAATTACAATTCAAATATAAATATAAAATATAAAAATGATTGAAAATGTATTAATCATAACAATATGCAGTCCCCCTTTTTCAATGATCAGCATTAAGACTTTAGAATTAAAAAGCATATTGACATACCATTGATTATATTGTTAGTGTTTTACCATATTTCAAAGGAAAAAAATTGGATGAAAATAATTTTGTCTACTCTGTAAGTGACCACAATGTTTGAGACTCTAGAATATCTTAACTTCCCACATAGTGTAGAGGTTAAAGTGGGTCCTCTAACTTGGAATTTTCATGTTTTTTTCATGTCAGTTTGTATGTGCTCTAGTTCTTGTCTGAAAGAAATGCTTTATTTGACATAATAAGAAACACAAACCAATAACCTGTTCAGTAATTATGTATGCACAGAGGTGTCACTGTTGAAATCTGTTATGGTGATATGAAGAAATACTAGTAGTGCTTGACAAAGTACACAACCAGCACTTCATCAGATAGTCAAGATAGCTTCTATAGTTGAAATTCTGCAGACATCTATTTTGAACAGGATGCTGTCTAGAGAGCCTTGCATTATATTATTTATTCATTATGAGGTTTCATGGTGAGATCATTAAATTCCATGAATAATGTAACAGTCTATCTTTGTGAGGAAAAATATTTATTTCTCCTCAGTTGTTCTGTATGTTCTACTTTAACCTATGGTTCAGTTGTGAAAATATAAATGTAGATGTATTTATAAACTTTAAAACACCAGTTCCTCTCCTGATCCGGGGATTATTATGTACATAACAGGTTTTGGTATGTAGGAGAGATGATGATATATTCAGCAAGCACAGTGTGGACATTCTTTTTATATAATGTGCCAAACTAGACTAATGCAGATTTGTGAATGGGATCAGTCAGGTGCTTTTGTTATAAAGATCAGAGCGACTGTCAGAAGAAGGATGTTGTTCTGGATCTCATGTATGTTGAGGATGTTTTAAAGCCTTTCTGGCACTTTTGTTTGTTTTTTGGAAATTTCCTCCCAAGCTATAATTTTTCCCATAGAAATCCTGTGTCCTCATATTCCGCATTATATCTAGAGAACATGCCAGGTTCTAAATAACTGCATGTGTTTTGTTTTGCAAATGTATAGGTCGACAGATTCCACCCTTGGAAACTCATGAAAATGGCAACAGTGGAACAATCAAACTTGGAAAGCAGACTGCACAGACCGCTAAGAGATGTTGTTAAAACCAGCCTGAGCTGGGTTGATTTACTTGAAAATAAAATCATGTAGTTTGCTTATTTATTGAAGTATAGACTTCAGAAACTCGATGACAAAACATCTTGTCTAAAAGCAATGAAATCCGTACTCCCAGTGCACATAGTAGGAGAAAGAACTCCTTCTCATTAGATCTGGACAGTTCAATTTAGCAACAAACTGTTCAAAACATTAGCTCACATTTTTTGAAAAAAGTAATCTTGTTAAACCAATGGCTGTTTGAATAGACATTTTGTTTTAAAATAGTCAGGTGAATGTTACATTTTATACAAGACCCAGTTTCTTCTGTTTACAATGCATTGTTTTATACTCTGATTTCACCTTTATAGAATAACAATGTGTGGTATTTTAACTACATGAATGTTGTGTACTATTTTATCTTCTACTAGATTCGGCTTCTGTGGCTTTGTTTTTAGAACAATAAATCACTTTTCAGAAGTGTAGATCAGCTAGTTATTATCCATGAACACAAAATACATAAAAACTCTAGCAATGTTAAAATACAGTAATACAATTCTCGTAGTTTTTAGTTTGAAGGTCTTGTTTTGTCTGTATTTGAATAGCAAAAATACCAGACTGTGGTCAGTATTTTTAAATGCATTCTGAAGACAAAAAGAAGAGAAGAGAAAGGCCTTGGCAAAGAAAATGCCAAATGTCCACATTTAGCCTAAAATTATCTTAGTAAAAATAACAGAAACTGCAGCAGAAGTGAAAAAGAACTAGATGAAGGATCCTTTATGCAATTAATTTAATATTTGAATTCATTTAAAGTTCATCTGGCAGATGTGTGCTGCTGTCAGAATCTGGCAGTAAATACTGCCCGATATGTGTTTTGGTGCAATGAACTTTTAATATAATGAACTTTATTTCCTTCTTCTGTCCAATTCTGTTTGAATGACAGAAATAAGGAACCTTTATTCTGTTCACATGTGTCCTTTTCATAATGGAACAGTAGCTTTAAGGAAGCTGCCTTGCACAATGGGACTTTCTAAGCATTTCCCCCTTTTCTGCTACAGCTCCTTGCACCCTTGTTTTTTCTTAGTGTTTTCAGGCTGCAGAAAAAGAAGCTTTTTTCTTTTTACATAATAAGTAAAATTAATTTACATAAATTTATGTAAATTTTTAATACGTAATTTACATAATTTTTTTCTAATACGTAAACAAATCTGTGCATTTATAGAAATAACACTGATTTTTTTCTCTTTCCAATGTTGGCTTTAATTCTTCTCTGAATAAAGAGCATGCCATGTAACCTTTGGCTGAAGCCAGATTTGAGAGCTGAAGTTCTCAAATTATAACACAATGACTGAAATTCTATTGGTGTTCAAATAAGATTTATATAATTTGCTGCAGCTAAACGCAGCTAATTTCCAAAGTACAACACAGTTATGCAGTTATACACATGACCAGACCTGCAGTCAGGATACACCTTGACACCTCAGCAATTAGCTGTAATGAACTGGAGCAAGTTATGCAAATCTTATGGGAACACAAATAGGATTCTGAACTTCTTCACTCTGGCTACCGGCAGTATGACGCTGGCATTACTTTTTATATGTTAGTATTATTTTTCTTCTACGGAACAGAAATCATCACAACTCAATTCTATTTCTGCTTGCAAGACTGACTCAGTGAAAAGGAGAGTAGCAGAAATTTTCATAACGGAATAGAAAAAGATTATGACCAAACAACCAAAGGCAAAAGTAACAACAGAAATACGGTGGTACTTGTAAGACTGACACATTTATTTCAGTGTTAGCTTTCAGGAATTATTTTTCAAAGACATATATTATGAGATTCATTCTGTACAAATGTTTTTTCCATAAGGAGTGGAAAGGCTTCTTCATTCATGAAACTCAGAGGAAGGCAAAGCAAGACTAGGTATCCACAACAGGTAGTATCACCTTAGGAGTAGACGGAGGAAACACTTAAACCAAATTTTATGAATGCTTATTTAGAGGTAAGGCTCACTATACTTTGTAGGGCTTTCTTTCAAATAAATATACATAGAATTGAAGTATTATTTATGTTTTAGTTGTATACCATTGTACATTCCTGTAACATAAATGCCTGCTTGTTCTGTCTTAAGTATTACAATAAGACAAAGCAAAACAAAAAAGGTTACAAAATGCTGATCTGATTCTAAATTATAACTCTACTTACCTATATTTTTTACATTCCATCGGACAATTTAGGTTTGTCTTAAATAAAACAGATACTGGGAAGTATCAGTATAGTTTATATACCAAATTATTATTTAGCTGCATTAAGATGCTTTTATGAATAAAAGGTTGAAACTTCTCTGTTGAAACCCAGAAGTATGGTAGAGGCAGCTTATTATACAGTTGTATCAGCTGACCTGAAACTTCATTTTTATACAGAGCTGGAAAATTTTTTGTCAGTATATGGTTCACTATTATTGTTCAACAATTTATCTTTCACAGCAGTCTATCTTTTGAATCTAGCAGAAAATAGTTACCAGGCCGCGCTGCTTTGGGCAGCAGTGGCAGGCTGATAACATGATCATTCTTTTCTCTTTAAGCACGTGCCTCACGTGTATCTTTTATCCAGAGTGAATTTGCTCTGGAATCTCCTGTAGGCACTGCTGGTGAAATGTGAGCTTTAGACCATAACGTCAGTCTCTAGAGTATACAGAACAATTAGTTTGTCTGGCTGCTTATAACCCACAAATCTGTGTGGCAGGAAAATTGAGAAAGAGTGAATTAGAAAGAAATTGAGAAATACCAACATATTTCGGGATTCAACAAAATGTGTGGCATCTGATCTTGCTGACAGTATGACTTTTCTTAGGTTTGACCACTCGGACTGAAAGATGGAGTCAATTGCATGATCTACTAAAGTATGGCTTTAGTGGTACACGACAGTGATTTTCACATTTCATTAACTAATATTTCTTCTGACTCTTAAAAGTGGATATACCAAGGATAGGTTCATATGTAGGCAAGGATCATGCAGATGTGCATTCCCCTGGATCACTGGCAAGCTCATGCAGAGGCTCATTTGTGGAAACTGCTGCTTTCACATAGAGGGTAAGAAGCTGGCTGCTCTGGTTCCTCTGAGGATGAAATTATTTCATGTAGTGCCTCCAGACAAGCCTAGTGTTTGTTCTGTGCAATCTCATGGCATGTGTGCAGTACAGTACACTACTCACGTTTGTAGCATTGATTGTAGTTATATTTCTAAGTGTATTAAGATTATGAATGCAGCACTGCATGGCTACTGGTTAAAGGGGTACTAGCTATGGCTGTCTCTTTAGCAACTCAAAACCTACAGCACCTGGTAATTCTCTGTGGTATTTAGATGATGAATGGTGTCTGGCTGGTTCAAAAAACAACATCAAAATACTTGTATCTGTAAGTGACCTTACCTGATTACAGTGCCAAATCTCTGTCCTGATCAACTAGCATAAAACCTGTCTCTGGAATACTGTACCTTAACTGGTAGAGGGCTCATATGAACTCAGATGAAGGCTTAGTCCTCCTTGTAAATCCTCTTTATTATATTGATTTGAGCTCAGACCTATCCTTCATTTGCAATTAATATCTTTTGTTGGCAATCTAATGAACTTTTTTTTAGAAGAAAAGAAATAGTAACATATAGGTATCTGTTTATAAGTTGACTGCTTTGGCGGTCTATCAAAAATCAAGCTAACAAAGAGAGTGATGCTTCTTATTAAATGATTCAAATTCATATGTAGACTTTTGTATTGTTTTTCTAAACAATCAAATGAACTCCTTTGCATGAAATAAATATAGGGGGACTGTAGGATTTTGATGGTACATTGATGACGCAGGTTTTGTAATTTGTTGCTTATGTTGGATAAATTCCATTTGCATTGAATAATATTTGCATTCATAGAAACTATTTTAATTGTTTTCAGAAGTTTAGTATGATTATGGAACCATATTACTGAACAGGCCTGTGGATCGCTATGCTAATTATTTCTAAAGGCTAATGCTATTTAGCAGCATACTAAAAATGTCCTATTGAACTCAGTGGGACTTACTTTAAATTTTCTGCCAAACATGTTTTGAAGTAACCGTAACTTAGTTTTGCTTTGATATAGAATCAGTCCCTCTACTCTGTACTGATATATGAAAGGGGGGGCTGTGGGTGTGAAAAGAGCAAAATCATCTCTGATGGTAGACTCTTTCAGAAAAATAGCAGAGCATTAGAGCGACCAACCACCACCACCACCCACCTGTCCATTTCCCCAAATCCATCCCAGCTGAGGACGGAATATTGCCTACGTACCTTGCCACCATGGAATATCTCTATGCCACAAACAGGCAGAGGAATTATTCTAGTAGAATAAGAAGCACACATGCCTCATGCCCCTTTCAGCAAATACAAAGGGTTGCTTGAGAAAACATCACATTGGACAGTTAACCCACAAAAACTCTTTTTAATAGTAACTACTTTGCCTTTGAAAAAAAATCATGAGGGAAGGGGGGGAAATGTGCACCCTTCAGCATGCCCATTTGGAGTTGCACCCCTATTTCCCCACAATCTTTTCAGATGAGCAGCCCCGCTGCCACTGAAAGAAAGAGGGCTCAAGAGGCGCTTCCTTTGGGGCCAGCCCCTACTTCTACCATCCCCCCCCCTTTGGATAAAATAGCATATCTACTTGTATGCTATGTATTACTTCCCATTCTAAAGAATTACGACAGCATAGTGAAATTATCTTTATTCACTGATTCAAGCCAGTGGGAAAATTGTGCTGTGCCTCCAGACAAGACAATCAGGTAATATTTTTTCCAAATACCAATAGAATAATTTGGAGTGCTTGATTCCAATACAGATCAATAGTATTTCATATATGTAGACAGCTTTAATCTTTTGTTCTTTACTTGTGATAGCATTTAAATGCACATGGCACCCTGCTTTCTGTACAGATATGTAGTAAATGATGTATACATATTCTTATTTGCCTTAATTGTTTAAACAAATATGCTCATTACTACCCTCTGCATTGTTCATGTGAGAGCTTTGAATGGGCTGGACCCACTAATCATTATGTATGAAATGCTATAATCTGTTAATACTGTTTATTCTATATTATATTTGTATGATCACAGATCAGTTTTGTGCCTAAATCATGTTTTTATTTAATCTAAAATGAACAATACTAATAAATAAATATTCTTAATCTTCATGACTGTTACCTTTATTCAATAAGAAAATCAAAAATGGCTGAAAACTTAAACTGAATTCTGGAATACAGGATTTCACCTATTGAAAATATTTAAAAATGGAAGTCTGGTTCTGATATGCTTTTGCATAAAATTGGGCACATATTTAAGGGTGGTTTATAAAATATACTATACAGAATGTTATTATTTAAAATTCAAGCTGTTTCTGTTAAATATGGAAATGAATTTTGTTACAATTTCTTCTTCACTTGTTAATTAAACAACCAAAAACATAAGTGCCATTTGTGAGATACAAGCGTGCACTCTTACAACATATTTTGAGAAAGAAGTCTCATCGTATTTAGCAGGACTTACTTCCACATAAATGTGCCTTGAAATATGTATCAGCAGGATAAACTAAAACACCATGCAGTTGTAATTAAGGTGCAACAGAACATCCTTCCATTTGATCAGGAAATAACTGCAGTTTGTCTCCAAAGGTCCTTTCATATATATACAACTATGACACGATTGTAGTGTTGCAATTGTTCAGATTAACAACCTGTTCCTGCTCCCTTGGCTATTCACAGATCCCAGCACTATTCTTTTGCCAGATGATTTATATCTAATTGTTTACTTTGGGGAAAGGGTGCAGTATGAAGGACAAATAAAACTGGAAAACATTGTGTATGTGATTAATTGCATGCAGTTCTGCTTGTTTGCAAGCAAGAAGCGATTTCTAGTGGACCATTCTGCGTCAATAAAAATCTTAACAAATTACACGAGTCTTAAATTGCACAACTTAATAATAGGAAACTTCAGGTATGGCATGGTTTATATAGTTAAAGCAGAAAGATAGTTTAAATGCCTGTTTCCTATTATACCTGGTATCACATTGATCACTTTGAAGAATCGTTGAATTTGTGGGGAAATCTTTAAATTTGGAACAGTTAGTGGAATCTTTGAACTTCAGTTTATAAGCCACCCACATAACTATAGTTGTTCTGAATGGCGCTATTATTGAGTTGTTTTTTTAAATCACAACAAGTAAGAATTTCCAAGAGGTAAGTGTGTGTCTGTTACAGGAGAAACAAAGTCAGTTAAGCAACCATATTTTCATGCCATTGTCTTCCCAAGTACATGTGTACTGAATAGGACTACTCTAGTTTCACATCCTCCCATGAATTTCATCTGCATGTTCACTGCCCCATCTTCATTCCTCTGAATTCAGTATCACTTAAAAGAAAATTTCAGTCAAATGACTTATTCAGCTTATACTTTAATCACTGCAAGCTTTCTCCTTTTCCTTTTTGAGTAATGTAATAAAGTTCCATCAGAAGTCAAATTTCAAGAATTATTCCTTTTATGGAAATCTAATTGGAAACATTCAGGGACATGGTGGCGCTGCAGGCTAAACCGCAGAAGCCTGTGCTGCAGGGTCAGACGACCAGTAGTCGTCAGATCAAATCCACGTGATGGAGTGAGCGCCCGTCGCTTTGTCCCAGCTCCTTGCCAACCTAGCAGTTCGAAAGCATGTAAATGCGAGTAGATAAATAGGTACCACCTCGGTGGGAAGGTAAAACAGCATTCTGTAGTCATGCTAGCCACGTGACAATGGAAATTGTTTTCGGACAAGCGCTGGCTCTACAAGCGCTGGCTCTACGGCTTGAAAACGGGATGAGCACCACCCCCTAGAGTCGGACACAACTAGACTAAGAATGTCAAGGGGAACCTTTACCTTTTTAAATTGGAAACATTCACTAAAACATTAATATTATCTAATGTTAACTTTAATACTTTTATGAAAACATAATTAAGTCCATGAATTTGCCATTTCATGTCAACCACACTGCATTTCAGATTTATTTCTGGTCTAATAGTGAAATTAGAGTGGTCGAAATGACTAGATAGGCGGGGTATAAATAAAATAAAATAAAATAAAATAAAATAAATAAATAAGTAAATAAATGTGATACAATAATTTCTGTTATTTTCAAACAATCCTTTAATATACTCACTCCATAGTATAATTTTACCCTTGTCAAGAACTGGAGGGTTATTTCTATCTATCAGTAGTGGGCATTTCCA